ACCCTGCCAGCCCCAAAGGGACCCCTGTCCCCGGGAGGGCCCCCCCCTCTCACCCGCCCCGCAGCAGCCGCGTGCGCATGGTGCCGAAGTCCATGGGGTTCTTGATGATCTTGCGGTAGCCGGGCACCAGCCGCGGGTTCACGGGCTCCAGGAAGGGCCACGCGTCCTCGTGCGACTCCATCTCCATCAGGATGATCCTGGGGGAGCAGCAGCGGGGTCAGGGGGAGCCCCCGGGGGGTGCGGCCCGAGCCCCCTCCCCGCAGCCCCCCCGGCCCCACTCACTCGCAGAAGGTGAGGTCGCTGGGCTGCCCCCGCAGGGTCACTCCCCTCCGTTTGGTGGGGGTCAGCCCCTCTCCCGGGTACCGGGGCACGGGCAGCCCCTCTCGGCGGCGCAGGGCCGGGCGGCGCCGCGGGTTCTCCTCCTCCTCCTCCTCCGGGGTCCCCCCGAGACGCCCCCGTTTCCGCTTCTTGCCCCGCCGAGGTGAGACGGGGTCCCGGTACTGCCCTGCCTGTGGGGAGGGGACGGGGGTCACGCCGGGCATGGGGTCACCACCAGCCTGGCCATGGTGGGGGGACGGCCCGGGGACCTACCCGGGAGACGCAGACGGAGCAGAACCAGTCGCCCTCGGGCACCTCGGTCATCCTGGGCCGGTGGCAGTAGAGGTGGCAGCCGCGGTCGCAGCCGTCGCACAGCAGCAGGTGCTCGTCGTCGTCCCCGCGCCGGCACACCAGGCACGTCTGTGGGGAGAGAGGGGGGCTCGGTCAGGCTGGGGAGGGGGCTCTGACCCTCCCTCCCTGCCTCGCCCCCCCCCCTCCCGGAGCGGGGTCTCACCACTCTGTTCACAGACTTCTCCCAGGCGATGGATTTCTCCAGCTGGAAGATGCACAGGGACACCTGGGCCGCGCTCCGGCACCGCTCCAGCGTCTGCCGCCACGTCCGCACCCGCGGCGTGATCTCGTAGGCTCTGGGGGGGATAATGGGGGGCTCAGCTCAGCCAGAGCTGGGGGTCCTGCTCCACCCCGAGCCTCCCAACACCCGCTGGTCACTCACATCTCAGTGGGGCCCAGGCTCAGCTCCTCGGGGCCGCTCAGCACCGCCTTCTCCACCACCACCTCGTGCAGCGGCCACAGCGGCTCCTTCAGGTACCGGCGCTCCAGGTTCTGCTCCAGCGCCAGGAGACGGAGCACGGCCAGATCCAGAGGGTTGGTGTGTTCCCGGCGCAGCGGGAGCCCGTCCCGCCGGGAACGGATCGTGATGTCCTCCAGGGGCTCCACCTTGTGCTCGCAGTACCGGAGGTCGTCCCGCGTGGAGTCGGGGCTGGGGCACGTCCAGCCCTGTGGGAGGGAGGGGGTTAAAGGGGGGTTCAGTAGGGGGAGGTCACCATGGCACCAAAACCACCATCCCTGGCACAGAGACCACCATTCCTGACACCAAAACCACCATCCCCAGCACCAAAACCACCATCCCCGGCACAGAGACCACCATCCCCGGCACGGAGACCACCATCCCCGGCACCCACCCGGATCTGCAGGTCGGCCATCAGCACGCGCTGCTCCAGCTCCTCCACCCACTGCAGGACGCCGAGGTCGGTCTCGTAGGCTCTGTCCACCACCGACCACCGGGCCAGGGCTTCCTGAGACACGGCGGCACCGGCCGCCTCGGGGCGCGGGTGGAAGATGGGGTCTGGGGAGGGGGTGAAGGGTGGACTCAGGGGACGGACAGACAGCAGCCCCCAGGCCTGGGGGTGTGGGGGGATGGAGGGTGGGCTCTTACCGGTGGTGGCCCGGAGGCAAACCTCCCGCAGGAACTCCTTGTGCTTGGTGAGGTGCTTGTGCAGGGCCTTCTCCCGGATGCCGCGCGGGTGCAGCGCCCGGGCCACGGCCTCCAGCTCCTCGGGGTCCCGCAGCCACCACCAGCCGCTCTGCATCTCTGCAAGGCAGCGCCGGGGCTCAGCACCCTGAGGGGGCACCGGCACCGCCCGCCCCGGGGGTCCCGGGCTCTCACCGGGGGGCACGGGCTGCTCCGTCAGCTGCGTCAAGTATTTCTGTTCCATCTGCTTGAAGAATTTGGTGGGGGGTCTCCCTCGGCGCTTGGGCTGTCCTGGCACGTCCTGGAGCTTGTCGGGGTGGCCCCGGCCGCGGGGGCAGGCGCCGAGGGCCCTGGGCCCGGCGGGCACCGGCGTGGAGGCGAGCAGGGGGGCCGCGGGGTCGTCCGTGGGGAGGCCGTTCAGCTGGGGGAGACAGGGGGTGTCAGGAGAGCCCAACTCACCCCTTGATCCTTGGCCCTCGTTCTGCAGCCCCCCCTGCAGTCCCCAGTCCCACAACCCCCCCAGCCTTGGAGCTGTTTCCCTCCTTTCATAGCCCAGAGGGTTGGGGGCAGCTCGGCTGAGCTCCACGTGCCAACCCCAAGGACCTTGTCCCCCACCCTGGGGGTGCCCAGTGCCCAGGCTGAGGGCCCCCCACAGCCCCCCCAGGTTGGGGTGCAAGTGCTGGGGTGAGCAGTCCCCGTGTGGTACCTGCTGGGGTGAGCCCCTGGGGGGGTCCCCGCGGGTCTGGCTGCGGGGGGGCACAGCGGGGGCTTGTGGGGAGGGCTCGGCCGAGGAGGCAGCCAGGGGGGCTCGGTCGTCGCAGGGCGTCCGGGGCAGCAGGTTGAACCAGGGCCCTCGCTTCTCCGCAGCCTCCGGGGCACTCTCCTCCTCTTCCTCCTCCAACTCCTCCTCCGTAGGATCCGAGGGGGCCTCGAGTGGCGGGAGCCCCCCGTCCCCCTTGCCGGGGCTGCTGGCCGGGGTGAGGACGGAGTCCTTGAGCAGGGACGACTGGGTCTGGCTCAGCCAGGAGAGGAAGGCGGACTGGCTGAGGTCGTGCTGGCTCTGCCCCAGGGGCTCCGGCTCCTCCAGGACCCCGTTGACGGGGGCGGCTCGGGGTCCGCAGTGCTGGGCCAGTTCCTCTTTGCTCTTCCTGGGCCGGCCCCGGGCGCGGGAGGTCGGGCAGCTCGTCCGGCTGGGAACGGGAACGTCCGCTGGCTCCTCCTTCACCGGGGACACGTGGGGGGGCACCTTCTCCTCGGGGGGCTCCGGGGGCACTGGCTCGGCCGCTACGAGGGCAGGAGGAGGAGGAGGAGGAGGAGGAGGAGGAGGAGGTGAGATGTGGGGTCCTCTCCCGGCTGGGAGAACCCCCAGAAGCCCCTTCCCCGCTCACCCTCCGCGCCCTCCACGAAGATGCCGCCCAGGTGGGGCAGGACCCAGTAGCGGCGCCGGAACCGGTCCTGGCCCAGGGAAGCCGCTCGCAGGGTCTGGGAGGAGTGGAGCAGCTTCTTGCGGAAGAACATCTGCCTCTGCGGGGAGAGCGGGGGGCGGTGAGGGGGCTGCAGCCCCACAGCAGGGCTGAACCCCCCCGGCCCTCCACCACCCCCCTGCTCACCTTGGCCAACTTCTCGATCTGCCGCTCCAGCTCCGGGACGCTGGACGCCGACGTGTCGGCCTGGGGAAGGGATGGATCCGTCAGGGAAGCGCCAGGAGGCGGGAAAGAGACCCCCCGAGAGCGGCATCCCCACCTCTGCCCCCCAACCCCGAGCCAGCCCACACCTCCTCCTCCCGGCGGGATCTCCGTCCCCGGCTCTCCTCCTCCTCCTCCATCTCCAGCCCTGTGTCCTCGGTCAGGCGGGAGCTGCGCCGGCGCCGTCCGTCCTCCAGGCCCGTGATCTCCGACTCGGGCCGGCCCGTCTTCTTGGCCAGGGCGACCTTCAGCCTGCCAGGACACCCCGGAGCCGTTTGACTCCTGTCCCTCTGCCCACCCCCACTCCCCCAGAGGCACCTGCTCACACCCCACCGCTGGCAATGCCACCCCGAGACCCCTCAGCGCCAGATGGGGGGGTCACAGGTGGGGGTCTCGGTGCTGCCCCCTCCCAGCCACACGCCCTGGGGGCGCAGGCAGCCCCTCCCCACCCACCTGCGCAGGCGGCCCTCGATGATCCACTTGTTCTTCCTGTAGTTGGACATGTTCTCCAGGGTCTTGTCGATCTCACTGCAGGGACAGGGCGGGGTGGCTGCAATGGGCAGCTCTGGGGGGGGAGTGGGACCCGCTCCGGGGGATCCAGAGGATGTTCATGGCCCCCACCCGGGCTCACCTGATGATGAGGGCGCTGCTGTTGAGCTCGTTCACCAGGAAGACCAGGATGGCAGCTTTCCACTCGGGGGGCAGCGCCTGGAAGGGTTTGGTGCGCAGCCCCTCGCACAGCTCCACGCCCGCCCCGCGCGCCGTCAGGAAGCAGCGCAGGATCTCGGACACCGTGTCACGGTTCAGGCTGATCTCAGACACCTTCTCCCCCAGGATCTTCAGGGACTGGGGACGGCAGAGCACGGGAGGGGTTGGGGAGTCACTCCCTGTCCCCCACGGGGGGATTTGCCAGGACCCCACGGTGGGAAAACCAAGCCAGGAACCCGAGCGGGAGCAAAGCCCAGGGGTGTCCCAGGCAGGGTCCCTGCAGCAGGTGAGGTTTGAGGGCACCCCAAGGGCTGCTGGGGGTCAGGAGCTGGCTGGGCACAGGGGGCTGCAGTGAGAGCAGCACCTCCCAAACCTGGGCTCCCCTTCCTGACAACGCCAGTCAGGGAAAGGGGGAAAACGGGAAGGGGAGAAACGGAAAGAGGAAGGGGAAAAAAGAAAAGGGAGGGGTAGAAAAGGAAAGGGGATGGGGAAAGGGCAGGTAAGGGCCGCCTCACCTGGCAGTAGGGTGGCAGCCCGGGGTCGTAGATGGCTGCCTGCAGCAGCCGCACCAGCAGGTCCTGCAGCTGCCCGGCCCCGGTGCCCACCCCCAGCAGCCCCTCCTGCAGCGCGCCCAGCGTGGGCACGTCCCGCGCGGGGTCCAGGCCCAGCACTTTGCCGTAGCTCTGCAGGAACTCCACGACCGTCAGGCAGTCGGAGAAGGCGCGGCTGGGCAGGACGAGCCCCGGGATGCGGGAGAAGGCTGGAAGGGGCTGCGGGGAAGGAGAGCAGGGGGGGTCAGGGGGGGTCGGCCGTCGGCTCACCGGGGTGACCCAACCCAGCCCCCCCGGCCCGGCCCACCTGGTGGTCCCCCAGGCACATGTCCTCCGTGGGCTTCTTCATCTCCTCCAGGATGAGCTGCTGCCGCTGCCGCTCCTCCAGGCGCCGCTGGGCCACCAGCCCCTTGTCCGCCTTCCGAGCCCCCTTGCCCTTCTTCTCCTTGGGCCGAGCCTTGTCCTTGCCCTTCTCCGGCTTCCCCTTCTTCTCCTTGGCCTGGGGACAGACCCCAGATGTGTGGGGAGAAAAGGAAAGGGGGGAAAAATCCACCTTCATCTTCCAGCTCCTCCCTCTCCCTGGTCCCCTTGTACCCACGGACCCACCTTAGGCTTCTTCTTGGTCTCCTTGGCCCTGGGGGCTTTGGCCTCCTGCTTCTGCTTGTTCTTGGCCTGGGGAGACGAGACCCGCTTAGGGATCCAGAGACCCCCACCCCAGACCCGAGGAGCCCCAGCGCCCACCCCGAGCCCCACGCTCGCACCTTCCGTCTCATCTTCTTCTTGATTTTACTCATTTTCAGCTTGTCCTCATCGCTGAGCACCTCTGTAGGGGAAGAAAGGAAGGGGATGGATGGACCAGGACCCACTGGGGCCAGGCTGTGAGGGGCTGTGCCAGCCCCCCCAAGCCAGCGGGGCCGGGCAGGGGGTACCTTGTGCTTCCAGCCTCTTGAGCAGCCGCGCGTCCGTCTTGCTCAGCAAATCCACCATCCTGACCTTGGGCGGGCGGCCCCGGCCCCGCTTGGCCGCCGGGGGCTCCTTGGGCTTGGCCTTCTCGGCGTTGCGGGGCCGCCCGCGCTTGCCCGTGATGGCCTGGATGCGCCCGGGGATCTCCTCGGGGCTCAGCCTCACCCACTGCACACCCTGCGGGGCCACGGGTCAGGGTCACACGGGCACGGCGCGGGGCTGGGGGGGTCACAGGGGGGTTCAGATGCCCCCAGACCCACCTCTGGCGTGTCCCGCTCCTCGTAGAAGTCTCCCACCGGCATCCGGGGGCTGAAGCTGAAGTGCTCGCGCCGCACGTCCTGCACCATGTTCCTGCTCAGGTACTGGGGAGGAGGAGGAGGAGGAGGAAGGCTGTGAGCTCTCGGCTCTCTGGGCTCACAGCCACATCCATCAGCTCAGCCAGGGGCTCGGGGGGGGGCTGTGAAGGACCAGGACCCCAGGGCAGCCCCCACCCTGCTCCCCCCACGGGGCTGTACCTTGATCACCTCCGGGAACTGCTTCATCCTCTTCCCGCAGGGCCCGTAGTACCAGGTCTCCCCCTGCCAGCGGTGGTTCCCCTTCTTGATCCGAACCTCCCGCCTCCACCTGGGCACGGGGAGTGTCAGGAGTGGCAGGATTTGGGGGGGATGTGGGGCAGGATGGGTAGGGGGCAGGGAGAGGGGGACAGTGTCAGGGACTGAACGGAAAGGGGATGGGGACAGGAGCAGGATGGAGAAGGGACAGTGCCAGGGGCAGGATGGGGTACAGGAGGGGGGCAGTGTCGGGGGTAGGATGGGGTACAGGAGGGGACAGTGCCAGGGGCAGCACAGCAGGAGGGGCAGGGCACATGTCACACGTCCCCGGTCCCACATACCCGTGCTGCAGCGGGAACCGCACCTCCTCCTGCGTGGCGATGCGCCGGCGAGGGACATCCCCTGTGGAGAGGGGACAGGGACAGGACGCTGGGCTGGGCCGTGCCAGCGGTCGGGGGGCACTTGGGGGGCACCCAGGGGGGCTCTGGGCCATACCTGCCCCCGAGGCGCCCAGCGGAGCCGCCTCCTCGCTCTCCCCTTCTGGCGCGGCCGAGGTCTCCGGGCAGCTGTCGGCGGCCTCTTCCTCCTCCTCCTGCTCTTCCTCCTCCTCCTCCTCCTCCTCCTCTGCAGACGGGGCCGGGGACTCTGGCTCCAGGGGGGGCTCAAGCTCCAGGGACCCCGACTCGCCCAGTCCCGCGTGGTTGCTCCCGTTCAGGTCGACGCTGCTGCTCTCGTCTGTGGGGCCGAGGGCAGGGATGAGGGCAGGGATGTCAGCGGAGCCTTTCCTGCTCCGCCCAGGACACCGGGCAGTGCCAGGGGTGAACGGGGGTGTCCCCTCCCGTGGGGCTCACGCAGCGGTACCAGCGCTGGCACAGGGTTCATCCCATGCGTGGGGTGCCCGTGGGGGCGGTGGGGTGACACCCCCAGCCCGGGGGTCCCCGCTCTGCCCACGCCGGGGTCTCACGTACCGTGCAGGGTGGGCGAGCCGGGGCCCTGGAGCAGCGGGGCGGGCGGGGGGCTGGCGGGCAGCAGGCCGAAGGGGCTGGCGTGGAGGGGGGGGGCTGGCAGCCAGGTCGGGGGGCTCCTCCAGGGACGACTTGTCGCTCACCAGCTGCGAGTCGTCCATGGTGTAGAGGTCGCCGGTGCCGGGGTCTGGGGAGGGGGGTGAGCACTGGGGTTGGGGGCAAGCGGACCCTCATCTCCGCTCCCGGGGGAGGGCGGGGGGGGTCTGGATGAAAAGGCTCCGGCAGCAGAGGGGTTAAAGGGGTTTGGGCCCCCCCCCAGCCCCGCCCCCTCCTCTGGGAAGCGCAGGAGCCCAAAATGGCCGAGGCTGGCGATGTTCACCAGCGCGGAAGTTCAGGCGCTGAGTAACAGCCTCGTCACGGAGCTGGGAAGGCCGGGAAGGAAGGCAGGGAAAGGCAGGGGAAGGCAGGGGAAGGCAGGGGAAGGC